TTAGCAATAAATTTTAATTTTCCTAACTTTGCTGTCATTTGATAGAAGATGCCGTGGTAACGTCGAATCGTATCCCAGATAGCTAAAAATGTATGCGAGTATAAGTACACTTATTTTCTCAGAAAAAAAAACACATTAAAATATTAAATATTATATTATATATATATATATATAATAAAATATCTCCATTGTGTATATGCTTTTATATAATTCTCCTAATTCCTATTATTTATGCGAGTTATTAACTCAGAGAAAGGCAGGCAAGCAATTTTTTAATTAATATGAATTATAGGAAATTAATCTGCATAAAATAATATTATAAAATTTCATGAAAATATAATATATAAATAAATTATTAATTTATATGGTAAATTTTAATATTCATCATATCTAATTTTAATTTATATACAGATAATCGGATGACAACGTGCTAATAAAAATTTTGCTCTGTCAACAATTTTTTCTACAGAGTAGTATTCAGTTTATTTTATTTCACTTATTACAATCTAATAGATATCTAATTTCAGCAATGTTCCGATTATATCAACCTATATAAGTTACAAACATCTAAATTTTCTACGTTTAATTAAAAATTATTGTAAAATGTGAAATCAAGTTTAAAATTTGTGTTTAAACGTGTAAATCGATTTTCTTTAACAAGTTTCTGTTTCCTACCTGGAGTTGCTGAAAACTGCGAGACGATGCTGCTTTAAAGAGATTTACAGATATCTTGCATTTCTCCTCTCAACTTTTTTAATAGTAGTATAAATACAAATCTCTAGCAATAATTATAATTTTAATTTTTGCACCAATAAAATCCTTATTAAAGTTCAAGTAAAATGCACTTAGTTGTTTAAAAAAACTTATCGTACGGCTATTTGTCACATATTAACATGTAAAATACCCACGAGGTACGATATCTAGCAACCACAATCGACGACTGATACTTTTTACCTCTGCAAGAGCATTCTGTTATCGCATGATTTTTTTGCTAAATTTCCTATCCGTATTTCTTCAGAAAATTCTCTTTAGAATCTTGTGAATGTAACACCTGTAGGAAAGATTGAAGAGTATTAATGCGGCAACGTGTATCTTTTTATATTTCTTTATGCCACCCCCGAGCGCAAAGACGGTTTTAATCTAAATATACTTACGAACAGAGTTCGTCGATGGCGCGAATACATTAACATTGCATGTTCCTCTTCACGAGAAAGGAGGAGGGTATGTACTCCGTAATAATGCAGTCCTATTCCGTGATACCACTAGCATGATAATAGGCTGGAATAATAGAAGGGGAAATAACTCGATCAAAGATTGTGCCACAATTGCCGTAGTGTACGTCTGTTATTACGTATCTTTCAAATATATTACTGTAGTGTGCGATACCACGAATCTCGTTAATACGGTATAACTGCTGAAGTAGCAGTCGGTGCATGATGACGATGAAGAATGTGAAGAAGGATAAGTTTCTATCGATACGGTTAGTGAGGTTTCTCATGAGGGTTACCGGTTTCTGGCCCGCCGAGTCAGAAACCGAGAAACGATTATTAAATGGAGTTTTGAGTTATACAATATGTATAAGTAGTATAGCTTTGTGGATAGAAGCAACCGAAGTATATCTAGGTAAAGGCGACTTTTATGTAAGTATCCAAATTTATATCTAATAATACAAGTAAGAAAATAATAAAATTGGCCAATGGCCAATATCACTGGATTAATATAATAATATCCACTTGCGCACAATAGTAGTCGTAAATTTCAAATTGGGTAGTAATACATTACTTGTATTACCGTCACTTTACTTTTTTTGTAATAAAAACGTATCGTATCGGTAGTGTTATTTTTTATTTTGTAATAGTAACGTAAGTTACATTTTTTCAATAATGGTAACAAATTTAGCAGTACTTTTATCGATATTTTTTAGTATAATCCATTGTATTTTTTTAAGATCATCCTTTAACTCATTAAAGAGATCCATATGCTTTTTCTACTTTAAATCTTTTTTATTTTATTTCTACAGTTTTTATTGATATTAATGTTTTTATATATTAATTATATATATACATTTTTATAGAGTTAATGTCAAGTTATTTTCTTATTTTTCAGTAATATAATATATATAAAAGGTAAGAACTCAGTAACAAAAATTTTTTGTATTGATATTTTAGGCTCTCACGTACACTGCTTGCAGCTCTATGCCAGTAATCATAATAATGCTGAAGATAATTTTCTTCTTTCGTTATCGAAAAGAACTGTTGAATATGTTAAAATATACACAGGATAATTTTTGGTACGTTCAATATGACGAGTACGGCAGCAAGATTTTGGAAAAGATTAATAAAAAAGGACTAATATTAATGTGCACGTTTACATTCTTCGTTCAAGGAACTGTTTGCACCTATATCCTGACTCCTATACTCGGTATCCTGAATCTAAATTTACATCGCCTACTTACAATTAGTAGAGAATAGAACACGAACGCGGTAAAAAGTCTTAGTTCAGGTACTAAGCACTTTTGTTCGTAAACTGATGCGCAAACAAGGATATCATATTTCTCTTTTACGTTACATTTTTATAGAAAATATAGGAAAAAATGAAAGCGATAGAATTCTTCCTTTTAACGTCTGGATTGGAATTTCAACAACCGTTTCGCCTAACTTTGAAATAATGTTTACTATCGAGGTAACACAGTATAATCCTTCAAAATTGCGTTACAGTAGAAACATACAATTTTGTATTAATTTTTTACAAAGTTGCGACAAATGTTAATACTTTATTATGATGTCATATTAATTAAGTTTTTGAAAAATTAATAGTATTAATAGTTATGTCAGTAATTGCATTTGATTGCCGGTATGTCAAATAATGCATGAACGATTTTGCTGAAGTATTTAAAAATTTATCTAGACACAGATCTGAAAATAATTTTGTTGGACTAAAATAATTATGCAGGACATTTAAACTAATTACTGAATATAAAAACTTTTATCAACATTGCTCATCATGCTTGAAATTTGAGACTTTTTGATTGTTTTCAGATCTGTATTGAGCTAAATTTTTTAATACTTTAGCCAAATTATATTTTCCGTGCGTAAATATTTTCTTTTAGAGTGTATAATTTTAGATTTCAGCGCTCATTCATTGTGGCATATGCTTCTGTTGTTTTGATAATCTTTTGGGTCTATTAAACTTACACACTGCTGGCCAGTTCAAAATTCTACAACACCGATTGAGAAGTATCCTCATGAGAGTCGAACGGACCGGTACCGTAAGGTTATTTAACGAGAAACAGAAACAGAAAGTATACGAAAAGCTCAGAGAATGCATCATATTGCATCACGAATTGATCTGGTACAGTGAAAAAATGGAGCAAATTTTCATGTACTCGACTCTTTGCCAGCTATTGGTGTCCGGTATCATGCTTTGCGTTGCGGGCTTTCAGGTGTTTTTGGTAAGTACCTACGTGTAGTTGTAATGAATGAGAGAGAAAAGATGTATATACATATCGGAATCCTTTATTCATAAAACGACGTTAGATAATGTAAAGGTAATGTGAGAGAAAGATAAACATAATGTTACCCACGTTACTTGCTGACCTTCTCTACGCGTTTGCATCTTTATTGGAAAAGGCTCGAGGTACTCTGATCAGACGACTGATATTCATCGCTCATACAAACGGTTGTTTCGTCCAACTGTTCGTGGTCACACTGACGGCGACTGACTTAATCAATGAGAGTCGCGCTGTCGGAGATGCGGCGTACAACGCCAATTGGCAGGTTCTATCCCACGAGGAGAACAGGGGAGTCAGGACAGCTGTTCTGATGATTATAATGCGATCAGCACGTGCTTGTTCCATATCCGCTGGCGGTTTCTTCCCGGTGTCTCTCGAGACGTTTATGGCGGTAAATCTGGTGTAAAATATACAATTACCCAAGCAAACACTTTCCTTAATACAACAATATTTCTATCTTCCTTCAGGTATTGAGCACAGCGGCGTCCTACTTTACTTTGCTTCGCAAATTCGTGGAATGAGCGCTTGAATAGGAAATTTAAAATTATATAAGGAATAAATTGAGGGAAAAAGCTCAGAAGTATTCAGAACATTAAAATATTTAGTTTTTGACTAACTGAGAAATTTCCGACGTTGCGTGTAATCTTAGATATTTAAAAATACAATGTTTGAAATGTATATATGTAACTGTAATACTCTACAGAATGTCATAGAACAAAGATTACTCGATTTTATTTGTAATGACGTTTTCTAAAATCTAATGCAAATAAAATCGATCTTTCTTCTGATAGAGATACCTAGCAGAAATATTTTTTTTCCTCTGTGTAAAATTGTCCGAAAAAGAAATGTGCACGAATATTCTTTTTTATCCACTGTATTTACATTGTATTTATGCAAAACTTTGATTATTATGCGATAATTGATAAGCTGAAACTCGTTTGTAAATACGTTTGTATTACCTCTAACAATACCACACGTAGCCGTCCAATTTACGATGAAGTTTGATAGCTCACAGTCGGGATGTTACTGACGCATGACAGAGGCGGCGGAGAGAAAGGGCTACGGCATTGTCCATCGAAGATCGAACTTAATACATATACTGTCAACTGATTGCCTTCAGCAAAGGAGACGCGTGCGATTATAGCCTGTCACTAGGTAAGTGAGCGCCAATTTTCCTACTTGTTAGCATAATGGGCTTCCACTTATATCGAAGTGGCTCGGCTATTCGGATGCACTTAAGGCCGTGGCGGCGTAAGAAAATCACGAGGTTCGGTATGACACGAAATAAGGAGTACCGATCGGTGAATATTACACGGCTCTTTATGAAAGTAGTCGGACTCTGGTATGTCGAGACACCGAAAGAAAGATTGCTCTTGCGTGTCGTGTTCGGCTATACTGTTTGGGCGATCGTTTGGGCTATTCTCGTCGAGGGCGTTGATCTGTATCACTGCATAGGTGACTTTTACGTGAGTGATGCAGCGATCGCTTTCGCAGTTTTACCTCGACGGACATAGAAACAGTCCGTCACATTCTTGAATTTATTTTGACGTTCAAAGTATTATTTTAAATTTTACTGTGTATTATTTTCAGTTGTTAAATTGAGTTATTAAACGTATAAACTAATTAACATTCCCAGTTTTGAAAAAAGTAGTATAGACAATGCAATTTGAATATAGTAGTTAATAGTAGAGAGTATATGTGTATTTTGTTTTTATATATTTTTAAAATATTTTTCTTTTATTTCGGTGAATTGAAATTGTTATAATTTGAAAAATATAATTGGAGAGTTCCTGATGTGCGTGTATATATATATAT